GGAAATTCTTTTTTCTCAGATGGTGGTGGATCTTGAGAATTATCTGCCCCAGTAAGCTGTAGAAGCTCGGTCCTTGAGAATATTTTTGATTATCAACAAAAAAAAAATTATCATAGAATCCTTGCATAACAGAAAGACGCCATTCGGCCCATCCAGTCTGCACTGACCCAAACCTACCCGGCCACCTCATCCCCATGACTCTGCTTGGTTTTTTTTTTAACCATGGCCAACCCACCCAATCTACACATCTTTGGACTTTGAAAGGAAACCAGAGCACCCAGAGAAAACCACACAGACATGGGAAGAATGTGCAAACACCACACAGAGAGTCAACTGAGGCTGGAATTCGACTTGTGTTCCTGGCACTGTGAGGCAGCAGTTCTAACCACTGAGCCAACATGCAGCTGGTCAATATCAAGGATTATAGGGAGCATGGGTAAAAGGCAATGAAGTGCTTGATCAACAATTATCATGTTAAATGACAGGGTAGGCTGGATGCACTGAATGGCCTGGTTCTGTTCCTAAAGCAATTGGAACGACAGTTCGGTTTTTTGGAACAACAAACAGTGCAATTAATTTCTTTTTACAGATCTTTTTTCCTGATCTGGAAACTTAAGTTGGATGATTTGTAAGTAGTTTTCTTGAGTCATAGAATCCCTACAGTGCAGAAAGGGGCCACTTGGCCCAAGAAGTCTGCACTGATCGTCCGACCAGCATCCTACCCACATCCAACTCCCTATCCTATCCCCGTATTACCATGGCTAATCCACCTAGTCTGCACATCCCTGGACAGTACAGAGCAATTTAGCATGATCAATCCACCTAGCCTGAACATCCTGGGTTGTGAGAGGAAACCTACACAGACATGGGGAGAATGTGTAAACTCAACACAGACAGTTGCCCAAGGCTGGGAGTGAACCCAGGTCCCTGGTGCTATGTGGCAGCAATGCTAACCACTGAGCCACCCTTACACAAGCAGATTTGAAATCTATGAACTGGACTGTGCCCAGAAAAAGAGTTAATGCAAAGAGAGCTACTAAATGACCAAGATGGATTTATCTCTACAGGATCAAGGTGCACTACATAAGGTGATAGAAGAGCAGGTGACTTAAAAACATTGCCAAAGAGATAGATTGTTAGGATTATCTAAGGAGAGGAAAGTAAGGTAAATAGGTGAAGAGGTTTAAAGATGGAACTTCAAGGCTCAGGGTTGAGGCAGCTGAAGGTACAGCCATATGGTGGCATAATTAAAATCAAGAATGCTCAAAAGGCCAGAATTAGAGGTCAGGAGATCTCTGAGTGTTGTACGGCTAAAGGAAATTACAGAGATAGAGAAGGGTCAGGAATGGAGGGATTTGCAAACACAGATGGGAATCTTAAAATCAAGATGTAGTTTAACTAGGGTTTGAAGTAGGCCAGCAAGCACACTGTTGATAAGTGAACAGCTTTTGGTGCACATTAGGAGATAGGCAGCAGAATTTTGAATGACTTTAAGTTTGCAAAAGATTGAAATGTGGGAGGCTGTTCAAGAATGCATTAGAGTAGTCAACCTTAGAGGTAACAAAGGCATAAATGCAAGCAAGTTCAAACTATATTCTTGCAAAAAAAAAAGTGGTTTAATCAAATCTAGACCTCCCTCAATGGTAAACAAGATATTAATTAAAGTGAAGAAAAAGAACTATGCTTTTTACAGATGTTAAATATTGGAGAAGCAGGTTGATTCGAGGTGGCTCAGAGGGGAAGTAAAATAGCAAATCAGAAAAGGAAAAAGAGAGAATATGAAAACAGACTGGCAGCTGGCTTAAAGTGGAATCTCAAAATCTTTAATAAGCATAATATTAGTCAATGTGCAGCAGTAAAAGGAGGCATAGTGCTGATTAGGGGCCAAAAAGCAGATTTAAATAGGAGGAAGAAGGAATTGCTGAGCTATTAAATGAAGAGTTGGGAACTGATTTTTTGCACCTGTAAGATGAGCAGCTGGAGCTAGATGACCAGTAAGACACCCAAAGCTTCTGTCTTTATTGAGGAAAAAGATGCTGACCGGAGCATGGTGAAAGCGGAGGCAATTAATGCTCAGGAAGAATCTTTTAAAATGATAAGAAGTAGATACTGAACAGACTATCTCCATTTAAAGTTGACTAAAACAGCAAGATTGGATGAGATGCATCCATAGGTGAGGAAAATGTGAGTGGAAATTGTTGAGGCATTGGCTTTTTCTAGGGCTCCCTAGACTTTGGAGGTGGTGTTAGAGGACTGGAGAATTTATGTCCTTGTTCAAAAAGTGGTGTAAAGATAAACTAAGCAACTACAAGCTAATTAGTTTACCGTTGGTGGTTGGAAAGCTTGTTAAAACAGTTTGGGACAAAATTAATAACTGCATGGACATTAATTTCAGTTCATTTAAAAAAAGCTGGCATTTAATTGTGAAGAGAAAATTGTGTGTTGAATTTTTTGTGAAATGGTAACAGAGAGGTTTGAGGATAATGCTGTTGATGTGACGGTCTTGAACTTTCAAAACGCATTTGATACAGTGCTGCACAACAGACTTGTCAGGAAAGTTATCATTCATGGAATAAAAGGGACATTAGCAGCATTTATTATGTTAGTTGAGTGACACGAAAGAGACAGTAATAATTATCATGTGATTTTCAGGATGGAGGACAGTTTGTTCAACAGGTGTCAATATCGAGATCATTTCTTCCTGATATATGTTAATGACTTAGTACTTTGTGTACTGACCCTAACCCTTACCCTTACCCTATCGCAGGGTACAAATTCATAGCATACAACTTAGAAGCATTGTGAACTGTGAGGAGGATAGTGTATAACTTAAAAGGAACAAAGACAATTTGGAGGAATGCAAGTGTAAGTAGCAGATGAAGTACAATGTCGAAGACTGTAATGATTCATTTTGTTAGGATGAACATGGAGGCACAATGGAAAGTAAAGATTGCAGTTCTAAAAGGGGTGCAGAAGTGGATGATCCTGGACATCTAAGTGCATTAGTCATCGAAGGTGGTAGGACAGGTTGAGAGTGCAATTCGTAAAGGATGCAGCATCTAAGGCATTATTAATGGGAGTATATAAGACAAACAAAGGACAGTTTAATCAACTTAGCTGGAGCACTGTGTCCAGTTCTGGGTGCTGCACTTTAGGGAAGATATCACATGTTGGGAAGATTGCAGAAGAGGTTTAAACAAATGTTTCCAAGTATGAGCAACTTCAGAGATGAAGTTATTGGAGAAGTTGGGATAATTTTCCTTTGAGAAGGCTGATAGGAGATTTAATAGAGATATTCAAAACCATGAAATGTCTGGATATTCATAAAATTGAGAACAAAGGGACCCAGTTTTAATGCATTTGCAAAATATAAAAGTGACATGGAAAATTTCACATAGCAAATCAAAATTCATGAAAGTATTGGCTAAAATGCAGTGGAGGCAAGTTCAATTCAAGCATTCAAAATGCAATTGGACTGTTCTCTGAAAAGGAAGAATCTGTAGGAAACAGAGAGAAGGCAGAAGAATGGCACCAGATAAATTGCTCATTTGGAGAGCTGGTGCTGATATAATGGTCTGAATGGCTCCCTTTTGTAAAGTAACAATTGTGAGATTCTATTCACCTGAGAATTTGACTCAAACAAATACATTTTCTCAGTTAAAAATGAATAATTTGTGCTTCACGGTTCAAACAGTTAAAATGCTTATGTTTGGTCACATTTTAACGATTTTATTGTTAACATGTCATGTTACATTTTTAGAATTTTTAATGGGCAAAGGATGGAAGGAGAAGGAGCTGACCTTTTTCTTCCACTGACTTTTCGCTGTTATAGAATGGTGGTAACAAAATTTTCTCTCTCTCTCTCTCTCACTCTCTATTTCTGTCTTTTCCCCCTGTCATTAATAGTAGAGCTAATAGAACAGATATTAATGATGCACAATGAACTAATTTAACCATATTAATCTGCTGCCTTCAAATGTCATGCTTAATACACCAGGTAATATGCAATTATCACTTAATGCTACAAATGAAATGGAATAATTCAGCACAACCACTTATCTAGTTGGAGTGGAAATGAAAGGTACAGGTGATAATATATCATATGGAGATAGTAAGAGCTGCAGATGCTTAAGTCAGTGTCAATACAGTGTGGAGCTGGAGGAACACAGCAGGTCAGGCAACATCAGAGGAGCAGGAGAGTCGACATTTTGGGCCGGAACCTTCATCAGGACTGTGCATCAGATATATCATATACCTTTCTCAATAAACACTTATTTACAATGGATTTACTTTTCCAGTCTGTCTCTACTGTACCTCCCTAATAGTTTTATTGAAACAATAGATATAACTTGGGTATGAAATTTGGAGGAGATATTTTTCAATGTAACAAACCGATTTATGATAGCCGTCTAGATTCAGGCTTACTTACATCTTTTTAACTTTTCAAAAATAATGCCAGAATCACACTAGCATCTCATACACATTGAGGGCTGTTCTTCATGTGTTGCTCTTGTTTTCTTTATGTCCTGTGTAAAATTCAATGGGTAATAAAACTACTCTTTGAAGCCTTCGGAGAAAAGATCCTGAAAAGATTGATGTGAAATAGGAGAAAACCTCAGTACTTGACCTTCAAACGAAACGTTCTTGCCATGTCCCGTGAATGAAGACTAAACAGAGACCCTGTGGCATTCCATCTCTGCTGCGGTTTTATATTGCGTATTATTGCAAAGATCTTGTCGTGTGTGCTCGGTGACATTAATTTTACTGCTGGGGATATTTTTTCAAATACAGTCTAATCTCTTATACAGCTGTAGCTTTTTGTGTAGAAGGATCTCCAGAGACGCGTCACTGCCAAGCATGATTTTGCTGCTGAATGTCAGAATAACAGAACAGAGGAGGTCTCACTGACGAATGCCATCTATAACTGGTTTCTGTCTAACTTACAAGTTGAATTGGGAAGTGCATGATTAATGGATATTGTCTTATTTGCTTTAACCTAGGCGGTGTGGATACAGTAAAGCTAAACAGGATCCAGATGAAGACAAGATGCATTTTCACAATGGTCACAGTAAGTCAGATAAAACAATCTATACTGTGGGTTTCGGGAATTTGGGGGGGAAAGTAATTTGCAAAAGTTCAATTAGAGTTCACTTTTTAACATTTGGCTTCAAATAAAAGAAAATAGGGATGTTCTATTCTTGCTGTGTATCCGTTGACTTTTACAAGGTTATGTTACAGCTTGCAGACAGAATGCCTTAGAATATGCGGTTTCTTAGACTAATCCTTCTACGGTATTTTGCTGAAATCCCTACAGCTAGAAAACAGGAGCAGTAATGGTAATAAAGTATACTTTATTCATGCTATACTCATGTTACCAAAGTCTATTCTTTCCAACTCAAAAGACGCAAGCTTAAATCCTCTGCAAGATAACTCTCGTCTTGTGAGAGCTGATGTTGAAATGTTTATTGGCTGTCCAAATTTTTCAGTTTAAAGGCCCCAAATATTTGCAATTGCTCCAAAGAATTAAGGGTCTAGGTCTAATTTTGCTTCAGAGTTTCTTCACTGAGACTCAACTTATTGTTAGTAAAGTTAGATCACAACTGGATGAAAAATGAATACTGGTGATTGTGGGTCCCAACTGTTGGTCCAAGCTGAAATTAGCAATTAAAGTTGTAGCCCAGCCCTAAGGGCAGACAGGGCTTTAAAAGCCTGAAAGCTGAATCTAATTTCACTGTCTTGGGCACAGAAGCTAGATTAAGAATTCAGCGTAATAGTGGTAGAGTGCTACATTAATGCTGACTTTTGAATACATTGTAAAGGCCCTTTCTGGTGGATCTAAATACCCAAGGCACCTTTCAAAGATTAGCATGTAGTTCTCTCGGTTCCTTTTACCAACATTTATCCATCAACCAAAACCTCAAGAATAATTTACCAGGTCATTTTTCTCAATGCTGCCTTTGAGTCTTTGATGCATTCTCCATATTACAATAGTGACTACATTTCATTGTGCAATGCCGGAGATGTCCAAAAGTCATGGAAGCATGATATAAATACGAGCTTTTCCATCCATCCTTATAAATCATGACCATTGTTGTTGTGTTCAAACATTTCCATCTTTTACCTCCATCTATAAATTGAAATTTATAAATTGCATGAATAAGTATATTGTAAGTAAATGAAGAAGAGGAGATTCTGAATTGGCAATTCCAAGCTATTGTGTGCTTCTCATATGGTCCAAGCTAAAAATTGACCTGATACACAAGTGTTGAACAATTGAAGCTTCTTACATATGGATGCACCACCATTCTAAGTTCAGCATCCTTCACGTGCATCTTGCAGCTTTTACTCATTCTCCCAGTTTTCAGTCTTTAAGTGAACTAGATATATGTCATTCAATTAAATATCAAGTGCGTGATCTTCAAAGTTGTGTCAGCACCATTTGTTTTTCCATGACTTTTATTGCGTTGGTGAAATCTTTACACTATTATTCTTGCCTTGATTTTTAAAAATGTTTGCCTTTTTTTGTTTCTCATTGCATTCCCTACTTTCTCCAAGTTGTATTTTGCCAGCTATTCTTACCTCCGAAGTTGTCATAACATCTTCATGTTTATCTTGCTAAGTATATGTCATTGAGATCTGATTGTTCTTTCATTAAGTCCACCTGTGTGAACAAGCTAAATTTTGCAATGTATTTCACCCGGGCCTTGAATAGAACGATGAAGAAGATGTTGCTCATTCTTAGTCCTCAGACACCAAGGATGACTTCCGTTCAACACTGTATATTTTTCTGTCACTTACTTGTATCTGTTCATCAGTTAACTGAACTAGATTACAATGAGGTAAAAGTAATTCAGACGCAATATGACATATATAGTGATCATGTCTACCATACCATCTGAAATGCCTTGGATAGGTTCATTGCCAACAATCGTACTTATAGGCTGAATTACTGATACCAAGTGGGGAAGGATGTATTTGGCAGAGAAAAAGCTCAATCTTAATAAGGAGGTTTATTGCATAGTGCTCTGTATATTACATCTGAGTTATACATGAGGCCTCAGGCTATGTTTAAGAGTTAGTACATACTGATTAGCTGCATTGAACTTAGCACTTAGAACTAGTTAACTCCTTATAGGGACGCCTGTTTACATCCTGATGAGTGGAACTGATCTTGTAATGTCAGTTAACCCCTTCAGGCACTAACTGCCTTTCAATAATCTAGCAGAGTTTTTTTTTGATTATGAAATTCTTTAAAAGTTGTTTCAAATAAGTAAAGAATGTTTGTTTACCAAATTGATTTACCATAGCTCATCTCCCTTCAATTGCCTGCCTTTATAAATGCTGGCAACACAGTTATGTTAGAAATCTGCTGCTTGAGAAAGAAACATTCAGGTTCAGTTCATCACCATATTTTAATCTTGGTGGATACTTGATTCTCTGAATGGTCTTTGCAGAGGAGATACTCTGGTATTGATGTTGCTGTTGAATGTTTGTTACCCTTGGGCAATTAATTCACCAAATCATGTCAGAGAAGATTGCTGTATCACTGAGTGAAGAAATCATCTTCTTTTGATGTTGGAATGAGGTAGACCACATGTGATCCTTCCATTCTTGATTGGATAACACTCTTATTTTATCAGGTTCAATCATAGGCAGTAAAGTTGACTGTGCTGTTTTGCTGCTGCTTCTTCTAAACAGCTGGATTGACTGAATCAAGAGTCTCCTACTAACTCCTGGTGATTGTGGTGTCAAGGAAGTCCGATGATCAGATTTTGAAGATTTGTTTATGATTGGAAGACAATTGACTAATTCCTTCAAACCTGTGAAATCAGTAGTATCTTTGATCTCTCAGTCATGAAGAGTTGTCATCCACCAACATACTTAATCTCAAGTCCTTCTATTTTCTCTTCTGTGACCAATGAAGTCTTCTCATTGTTCAGTAAAGTTACATTGATCACTGGTATTTGGTTTCTGAGCTAGTTGAGGTTATTTAATGTACTGTAGAATTTTAAGAGCAAAGCATGCTTTTCTGTTCGGAATTTAGATGGGTTTTTGATGATGTACTCCTGTTTCACGTAGTATTGGTCTCTATATTAAGCCTACTCTCAACATCCCTTTCAATTTGAACAATGTTCTGCCTCTGTCATGCAGCACTCAGTAAGTTTGTGGTTCCACTCTCTTCAATCATCGGGTGATTTCAAATAATACAGGAAAACTACCCCCCGAGTAAAGTTTGAAATGAGTTGGATGACCATCAACCAAATGATCTCTGTCATTTCTGGCTTAGATAAGTCACCTTTTAAAGCACCTTTTATGCCGAGGAATGGTTGAGTTGCACTTCCAAAAGTGGTTTATCATCATTTAAAGATATGGGCTCTATGGAGGTAAATCTTAGCAATTTCTTGAGGTTTTTTCCAAAGATGCTCGCTGTAAGATGGTTAACTGCTTTGTGTAAGTAAGCCTTATTATTCTGTGGTTCTGTTGTTGCTTTTGACTTTTTGCACTTAGTCACTCAATTTGAGCCAACTTGAGTGCTTACGTCATCTTTATTTGGCCTTGCCTTACTATTACTTTATTTACACTTTGCCACCTCAGCTAAACTGAACAGACTCCCACTACTTCTGACTTGCCTTGCCTTTTAATGCAAACTCCAAACCAGACAGCTTCTCATATCAACAGTGATCAGTCAAGAGATGGACATGTTGCTGTGTGGCACCATGCCAAATCAATATCGCACTCGCACCATGTACCAGCTACATACCAAATACTATGTGTTACAGTTTAATGCAAGTAATTTTCAGTCAAGTCAAGGTAGACAGTCTTCATACCTTGGGTCCTGACACAATAAATTGAGAGAGCATCCAATATCTATCTGGGGCTTGGTCATTGTCAGTCAGCCACTCCCCCAAGTCAGGGTCAGGATCCTCATGGGGGGTGAGAAACCAAATGTCAAATATCGCACCATTGGCTTGGCTCTTCCCCCTATTGTTTGCCATTTCCTCCAGAAATAAGACAAAGAAGTGGTTTGAGTGAGATGGAAGTAGCTGACATAACCATTAACACTGCTCCGGATTGTTGAAGGGTGGTGAGGTGTGCTGAATGACTATGTAGGAGGAGCAGAGGCCGTGCAGGGTTAGTATTCTGGGAGGAAATGGATAGGTTAGAAAGTGTTGCATGCATTATGAGAATGATAGGGCATGAGTCTTGGAGGGAGGTTGTTGCAGTAGCAGAGATAGAGTAAGTATGAGATAGCCGAAAGAAGCTTGTGGCATCCTAGTGGAATAGAGAAAGTCATTGACCTTCTTCCTACACTGCTGGGCATCTGTTCAGACAATTGATATCACACTGTCAAAGATGGCAACATCAAACCAAGCTGCTAACCTCATCCGGTAGGGCCTCTAAGTACCCGTCTGCAAAGAGGGCACCAATTTCCCCTTATCTACTATGTCCGGGTAAATGTCACAAACCATACAGAGCAGCTCCAGACTGCCAGTGCTTAACTGGGAGAGCTGCACTCGTTTCAACAAGGCGCCAGCACCAAAAATCCCGGCATGGCCTGGCAATGACGCATGCCTCTATCTATGGCAAGTGGGAGAATCAGGTAGCACCGGATGTGTCGAGCGCCAGAGGGACATGGTACATAATTAGTGAGGGGTATTTAGGACAGTAGGTGAGAAAATTACTAGGCCTCATGCAGAGAAACCTCCATGACATGCAATGAAAAAGATAGTAAGCTGATTTCTGGTGAGATTCATACCATTTTTCCTTTCATGTATTTTTTTTTAACTCCACATCTGGAACAGTGACTTCTCACACCAAAGGATTTAAGATTTTTTGTATTGATCTACCATATGATGTTTTGGTGTTTAGGTACATTAGAAAGCTGACAGTATCTGTTGATCTTGAGCCAGGTTGACATAATGTTCCCATTATAATCTTGTCGTCTTTTTGGATTTCAGCTTCTACCACCATCTGGATGATTCTTTTCAGTGTGTGATCCTGTTTTGATGTATAGGTTTCTTTCCGATATGTTAAAGAAATTTCAACAACAATTCTGTCTTGAATCAG